ACTAGACACTAAGCACCCCGAAAATTAGCTACATCGGACAGTTTCGTCGAGCACACCCCACGTGAGAACTCGAATCAATCCACGTTTTACCTCCAGAATCTAATAATAAGTACAAGCTTACAATACTTAGTCCATTTCATACAACAAGAGTTCTTAGAAATTATTTATTACAATACTAGGGTTCAGAGTGCGATAATTAAACAGCGGAATGAAAATAAACATCTAGCGGAAACGATACAAGGATCCGTCTGTGCCCACCCGAAGAATCCTCCACACAAGAGCTACTCCTCAAGTTGCACCTGCAACAAGGTAAAATAAACCCTGAGTACACAATGTACTCGCAAGACTTACCCGACTAATGGGAATAGTTTTCTGACTCCAAAGGGTATGATAGGCAATATGGGTTTGCTGTTTTCTTTTTGTTTGCGAAAAGCATTACTAGAAGTACGTCTTTAAGATCAAGTTTAATTAGCAGTCATGATTGCTTCATTAGCTAACCATTATAGGTAAGCACCTATTCTACTTTCAAGCAAGGGTTGATCAATCAGAACCAATTTACCATCTTTCATATTACAGTTCTTACTACGGTGCTAAACCATAGCCAAGTCGTACCGTCTCATGAAAACGGCGATTCGCGAACCAATGTATCCCAGCTGGGTACCCCGAAACACACGCCCCGTTTGTACCCCAGGCAGAAACAAGACCAACCCATTTCACTCGTGTCACGGGGTCTAGGTCCCCGTCCAAACTTGGACTCTAAGCCTCCACACTTGAGACCCGATCTCAATATGGTGCTTAGACCTCCACCTTTCCCGCCTCCAATCAGTCGGTCCGGAAAGAGCTAGAACCCACGACAAGAGTGTAACAAACCTTCCTGCTCTCATAAGCAAGTATGTGCTCAGGATAATAAATCTGTGACCTGACTACCATCCATAGCAACGGACAGTCCTCAATCGACACGGATAGGAAAAACAGTGTAACCAAGTTAAGCCCCATGGCCACGGGACACAACTCGTCACATCCACCATAACCCATACCATATCCCTGTTCGGTCTCCATTTTCCTTTTATTATTTTATCATGAGAGTAATTATAATAATCACCTATTGTGAGTAACGGCAGGTTACTCACGCTACCGAAAACCTAAGCATAGCAGCTACTCGAACCTGTACTAGTAAGACAGATATATCTATATAAGTGGTTTCCATAAAATTCCTGTAACGTAAATGCACATCACATATATACATATAGAGATTATCAAAAATAAGGGTTATGCACCGGGGCTTGTCTTGGGCAGGCGCGGTGTCAACTGCGTCAGTCAGTGGCGGCTCCGAGACCTCCTGCTGCATGAGAATCTCCTCTTCATACTCCTCGATGATCTCCTCGAACTCGTGCTCGCCGGTGGTCACGATGTCCGCCGACTCGTTCTCTATATGCATGCGATGATGATGATGCAACGATTTAGTATTTAGGCAACAATAACTTTTAAAATACGAACACATATGTCATACTAACAAACTAGCTCTAATGACTAAGATACTAAGCTAACCATCAGTTCTATCAAATCAAGTGTCAAGCTCACCGTAACAAGCGCTTAATTTCCTAAATCAATGTTATGCTCTTATTCATATTAAAGGTTTAATGGATATATAGCTAACCTAATAAACAAGCTATATTAGGGCTACAAAAATTACAGTAAACACATAATAATACAATGAAGCTACTGTAAAAATTTTAGGATCAAAGCTATCACCAAGTTACCACAATAATTACCCTAATAATATTAAGCACTTTCAAACAATTTAATAGCCCTAAGTATCAACATAGATATGCATGATCTATCTATACTACCAGATAGATCACAATTTTAGGAACCTAATAAAATTTGTTTCACAATTTATGGACACCTACACGAATTTATATCAATTATACAAATCTAACTCAGAAATTGAAATGAAAAAACTATTACTAATTCCTAAGAAAAAGAAAAGGTGGATTCAACCGTGAGGCCCACCTACGTGTGGCCCGCGCGAGACGGCCCATGGCGGGGGAGCCCACGCGCGCTGGCGCTTTCGCAAAAGAGCCCTCGGACTTCTCCCGAACTACACCTAAGTCCTAACAATATTTCTTTGTCTCTCTGACGAATTCATTTAACCCCCTGAATTTTTCCTAATTTACCCGCACACAACCCCGGGCAACTCTGTGCACGGCGGCGCGGTGAGCAGCGGCTCAGGGTGGCTACGCAAGCCACCTAGGACCTGCGCGGACCCATCAAGCGGGTCGATCACCATCTTCGACCAGAGCGGCTACGCTAAGCGGCGGTGCGGGGTGACATGACTAGCCGGGGAAGGCTGCAGCGGCGCGCGGCCATCCGCGATGGCGGTGCCACTGTTTTGGCGAGCTGGGGTAGCTACAGACCTAATTGGTTAGCGTGCGAGCATCAGGAGGCTACCGTGGACCAGGCCGAGGTGACGGTTGGAGCGGAGGATGACGGAGAAGGGTTGGCCACGTGCGGCCGACCGCCTCGCCGACCGTCTCGCCGCGTTCGTGATAGAGGCTCGTGCTATGCCACCGCACTCCCCTGACGGCGGCTTTCACGAGGGCGTCAGCGACATCCAGCGCATCGTTAAGGGCCTCCTCGATGAGACATGTACCCACAAGCATGAGGAGGCGCCTGCGGCTGTTGGTCCTAGTGGGGAAAACTGAAGCGGTGGCAACCGAAGACTTCATCATCATAAGTCTACCACAGATAGGAGAAGTAACTTCAGTACCAATGGTTACCGTCTTAGGAGGAGTTCGCAATTAATTTCAGTAGTTCGTAGTTGCAATCTAGTTTCAATAGTTCATAGTTGCAATCTAGTTTCAATAGTTCTCGGTTCTCAATCTGGTGAAATTGGAGGGTCAGATCTCGAGTTAATAGTAGTTGTTTTCCTTCCCAAATCATTTGGAAACTATAGTTTGTAGCCCTTCTATTTGTGGACCTGAATTGTGATGATGATTGATGGGAAATGTGAATGGCTTTTTAGTAAAATTATTTCTTAAAGCATCTGCCTGTTGACTGAAATATTGTCATTATAAGAATGCAGGATTTATCTTTCCACGCAAATGATACTATTCATTTGCTCATTTCTTTAAAAGGTCAACCGAGTACTGAACTTTATGTAATCAATGTGTGTTTTAGTTCTATTAGCACTTCAGATCATCTGCATATACCCTCTAGTTAATGTTCTTGACATGCTTTTTTTTAAGTATGACCATCTCATAATCCTCTAAATATTGATTGTGCTAACACATTTGAAAACAGGAAAATCTAAAATTTAGATTATCTTTATATTCTAAACATTTTCTTTAAAATACTAATGGATTGCATTCATATATGTTGGGATGGCTGATTCCCAACAAGTTAAGGGGTAGTGTAGAGAAGAGAGGCGACGGCTAGGGTTTTGCTAGAACACAAATGATAGTGGGTGGGAGAGAGCCCCTTGCCCTCGTACCCTTGGGCACTATATATAGCCAATGGTGGGGTTGGGTTTCACATGCAACTACACTAGCACAATTGGGCCTCTTCTAAGGGAAGACTTGACGCATATACCATATGGACCCTCCCAACGGTAGCCCTTCAGCTACTAGGTTATGGTCGGTGCTACATGACCTAGTAGATATGCTCATACAAGAAGTGGCACAAATACAACTCGAAACTTGGTCACGAGGATCGCCCTTCACAACCTTGTTGATGGTCACTAAGTGCCAAATGCAATTGTCAATTACATCAGAAATAAAGGAGAACTAGCATTTCTTACATGCATATTTAGTTTCAAATAACATAGTTTGACTTGTGCCTATAGATTATTTGTATGCAGGGGTTCTACATGAAAATATTACGAATACTTGTGCAAACGGCGAAGAAATTCAACTTTGATCACACGACAATCGCTGAGAGGCACATACATGGACCTAAAGGCCAAGATCACTCCTATCTGGCCCAACACAGAGAGGTGCGGCAAACAAAAGAAGAGATCCCCTCACTACCATCCTAGATGTGGCTCGAGAGGCTGTGAGAGGCTCGGGGACTGCTGTTGAATATCAAACAAGGGTTTGCCTAAATCCTAGGATTAACATCATGGCACTGTTCATGGAATGACAATTAACAACGCTGATGAAGCGGCTACGGCTGAACCTGACGGGTTGCAGAGTCCAAGACCGCACCGGCCCAGGAAGGCAAATCCGAGCTACTACGGCCCGGCCTTGACCAGCAACTAGGAGAGGACTGTCCTCAAAAAAAAAAAAAAAACTAGGAGAGGATGCACGTGAGGGTGCGCGTGTGAGCTGTATCGTTCTGTACAAGTCTTCTGTTGCCGTGTATGAGAGATCATCTATGAAAAACACGGTAACAAACTTGTAATTCCTCTTAAGCAGACCTTTACAAAGGAGTACATTAATTTTTTTCAAACGTTTTGAAAAAAATCAGTGTTTAATTTGAGGTATTTTGCACATGCATAATTCTAGTCAATCGAGTTATAATTTGCTGTAAAATTAAAAGATTTCGAACTTTAGTGTACTTTATGACATGGCAAAAGCACCGCAATTATGTTGTGGACTTTATTAAATAGCCAAACAAACGAGTACCTATTACATGCCCAAAGTGACAGATAACAAACATGGCCAAAGCTGACGACCCGCTAAAACTAAGGCACCATCAACAACAACCTAATGCATGGCTGTCTCCTGAAGAACCGGACCTGAGCACTGACCAAACTGATGGAAACAAAGAGATACGCATACGCTGACAGATATACGTATCCAACACACAACACAAGGTTTATACAGACACCAGAGCAGATATCAAACGCTAATATGCATCTAATCTAATTAAGAAATAGTAGGCTGCGCAAAGCTCTATGGACAAGAAGACAACAAGCTCTTGCAGTAGGAGTAGTTTTTTTGGCTGCTGGCAGGCAGATGATGGACCTATTATATTCCCATATATTACCATCCTGTGCTTTATAATGGTGATTTGGCTAATTCGTCCGGGTGTGTGCTTGTAATATGTCTTTTCAACTGAGTAGTACCATGACTTGCTGAATCAGCTTTCAGCTTAGATCCACAGTGGTTGCACCTTGCCATGGTAACCGTTGAACCTTCAGCCTCCACCACCTCCTCCTTCGTGAAATGGTTCCAAACTTTAGACCGTGGAGGAAGCGGTTTTCGCTTCCGTTTTCCTGATGGCACATCACCAGCTTGTTTAACAATACTTTTGCCCTTGTTACTTGAACTGGGGCTCCTTAACCTCAAATTACACTCGTCGACCCGTCCAAATGCATACATCACTAAATTTGTAACAAATTCTTTCTTGAATCCTAACGAGCAAAGGACACGGTGCATAGAATGCCAGGGATATGCGCACCCAGCTGGTGCGGACGCCGAGTCCAAATTGTTAACTCCCACCAACAGGTATGAACTGCCAATAGTGTCGGAGCCAGTTGCTAGCGAGACTCCAGGATGATCTTCATACGGGTTCTCGCTGACGTGCATCCAAGCTGCTGACGAGCGCACTTGAACTCCTTGTTGTTTTGGTAAAATTTTATAACCAACGACACGGTGCATAGAATGGCAGGGATATCCGTACCCAGATGGTGGTGCGGGCGTCGTGTACAAATTGTCAACTCCCACCAACAGGTATGAACTGCCAGTTGCTAGCGAGACTCCTTTATAACCCTTCTCCTTGCTGTTGTCGTAAAATTTCAATCTGAAGCCGTCGTGAGGACTTTTAGTAGTCGATGAGCAATATGAGCTATCAGAGAGTCGGATAATGAGGCCGCACCATGGGTCCGGCTCAAGAATGGGAAAATATTTAGTACCGACCTGCACAAGAGATGCATGACCGACCACATTATTATCATCATCAAAAGCAGAATTAGTTAGCCTTCCAATATGCTACTCTTGTGTCACGACAGTAATAGGATTTTTAACAAAAAAACGAAATCATAAATTTTCACCAACAGTAAAAATGAGTGGCACTAGAAAAAAGGATTAATAATACGAAATTTCACAAAAAAATAGAAATATCAGCGATTAATCCATTATAGACTGCAATTATCATTGACAATAATCACAACCAGAATTTTAGACTTCTCCTAGTGAGGTGGGCTTCTTCTAGTGTTTTAGTATTCAAAATTTAATATAAATTTTCCCTACTAAATGTATCCTAGTGAGATTTTCATGTGCTGTGACTAGTGGTAGTGTTTTATTACTACTTAAAAACACTAGAAGAAGTCCACCATTTTAGTAGTGAATAGATATCGGATTTATTATCTTTTTGTTCTTAAAAATACCCACATCTACGGTTATGGAATTATTCTAAATTTACCCCCTAATTATGTATCAAAATTACCTACCTTTACCATCATGAAGAATAATCTAATGTAACCCCCTACTCTTCATCCAAATTATATCCACACCTATGCTATTATAAATAAAATCTAAAGTAACACTCTAAATCTAAATATAAACTACCTTACTTCATCATTGTTATTAAAACAAATATAAAATCACTGTTAGTCTATACCTAAATAATCTAATTCCTTCATTATTAAAAATTAAATTACCCCAAAGTGTTTTCCCTTGTTAATATAAAAAATGATGTGTGCCATCATGCAAATTATGTATACATGTATGCAAGAGGTAATAAGCTTATATCAATTTCCATGTCAAACACATATAGCTGAAGGAAAGGTCTCAACTAAGTATATGTTGAACACATGTAGAGATGTGACCTAAAAGGGGGGTAACTATGAATGTGGATGGAAAAGCAAATAAATTAGTAATTAGTAAGTAAACCAAAAAGATAAAGGCAATAAAATATCTATATGAGTATGGATGAAAAAACTGAGATGGGTATGAATACCTGACATGTAAATAAAACTATTATAAAGGCACATCCTTACCACAAAACCACCGGGTCCTGGGCAGCACGGCTGGGACGAAAGGATTGTTGCCATTTGTTCCTCGCGGTCCATCAGTGGCTGATGCTGTTGCCATGGAGACAGTACAACTACATCAATAGGAAAACAACAAATAAAACAGTTTGGATTTAATTCAACCTGGTTATCGAATGATTAACTATAGGAAAATAATTTTGACATAAATCTTTTCGAGCTTGTATGGATCGCAGAAGAAAATTAATGGCAAGAACACAAAAAATGTTCAGAAGAACTGCAAGCCCAAACTGGTTGTGGGATAAAATATCACTGAATGCTTATACTTATTAAAAAAACTGTAGAAGCCAAACAAACTGTTTTTTAGAACAACTTGCTGATCGGGCAAAAAGAGTGTAACCCATCTACCATGCACCGGCCAAAACTAACCTAAAACCTTAAAAGTTGATGAAGAAAATTGGACAATTTACATATCGTCTCAGTACTCTCCCTAGTGGAGATATCTCGAGCTTTCGAACATGGAAGGAGTGAGCAACAATTTTTGTTATTAAGCTGTGCTGTAACAGCCAGGACTCAAATAACTCAAACGACCTAAGTGTTCAAAGTTATTATCATATCTTATTGGGCTATACTATGCACCAACCAACTTAATCAATAGGCAAGTTGATGAGGAAAGCACATAATCCACGGTATATTTCAATAGCTAGAACCCTAAAAAATAACAAACCACTCACCTGGTTGAGGAAAGCAACACACAATTCTTTGAAAAGAGATTAAGCAGCCACCAAATAGACTTACTACTGAGGCGCCAACAACAGATCAAAACTGCTATCGTAGTCCAAAGGGATTTACTTCAATTTTGTACTTGAATACTAAACACTTAAACCACGAAACCACGCCATGACCTTAAACATAAGTAAAGTCCAAACAACCCATACATTGATTTGCTAGTGTCCATTATTCCTGGCCTCGTGATTTAGGATTTCACATGGCCTTGAAGATAAAAGAAGTTCAATAACCCCTGGACTTGCTAGTCCATGACTCCCATACAGTTGAGAACAGGAAGACGATAAGTGTCGTAACTTAGTTTATGCCATAACTTATATGGAAGCTTTTATACAAGAAAGGAACAAATGAAGGAAGCCTCACCAGCGTTGGTGCCTTGCGTGTCCACTCGCGCTGCAGTGGCACAATTATTGCTGTTGTCTGTCTCAATTGGTTCACTCTCACCATTGGGATTCTCAGCGATTTCTTTAATCTGTAGTGCCTGAGAGGACCGTGCCCCAGAGGAAGCCGGAAGCTGGTGAATGCTCTCTAGATGCCTTAACATCTTAATGGTTGAGGGGTCTCTCATGACAGTGTGGCAATATGGGCATATCACGGTCACGGTACGACAGTATTTACAAGGTGACGTCCTCCAGAAGTGCTGCCAAACTATTGACGATCTGTGCTGTTCATCCTTCATCATTTTGCCAATACGCCTGCCTAATTGCTGTATCATATCTATCCCCATACGATAGAGGTTGCCGGACACATCCTGAGAAAGGAGCAACCGTACCATGCATATTATTAGTGAAATATATAGGAACATCATTCAATCAAGTTATTTTTTAATCAAACCTAGGTTTAATTTGATCCTTGGAGGAAAAGGTACAACCAGCTCCACTAACCACGGAAGCATTGATGTTTACTTTGAATTTGCTAATAGTAGAGCTAGGTAATTTAGAAAAACATACAATATGCTTTATGTTTATTTTTTTTCTATACACTACCGGAAACACCTAATTTGCCGAGTGTCCCCACGTTTGCCGTGGGCACGATTTCGGGCACTCGGCAACATTGTGTTTGCCGAGTGTCCCAAATAGGAAACTCGGCAAAAATAACACTCACGGCATAACAGTTTATACCGAAATTGCCTACACTCGCACGCAATAGGCACACAACATCATCATGTCCAAGTAACACCGTCGATCTCCGTTATCCTATATGCCGAAAGTGCCAAAATACAACACTCGGCAAACACACATCGATACGAGTATCACCTTTTGACACTCGGCAAACGGTATTATATGCCGAGTGTCCGACTCTTACACTCGGCAAACATTTTTTTTTGATTTTGCCCCCCACAAACTTTTTTTTACTGTTGTCTTACAATACCTGTTGCTCTCTGTTCAAGTAATGTACATTTCTGAGTTATTTTACTATATTTCATCAATTTATTTTAGTCAAATGAATTTTTGGTAATTTTTTGGATTTGAACTGCAAGTGCTTCGAATATCCGAAAAAAGTGAATAAAAAAATGATATTCTTTTCACTGAGTTTGTTTTGATACCGTATCCAAGGCCAGACCATAAATCTCGAACATTGTGTTCGCGAAACATGAGCGTAAACACGTGGCGGAAACGTCTGAAAAATTCTATAAAAAACAAACAAAGTCTAAAAATCATGAAATTCATCGAGTTGTCGGGATATCATACGTGGAGGCTATGGTAAAAAATTGAGAGTGTTTGACAAAGTTGACACGTGACGTTGTTTACAAATCGGATCATCTCCGGAGAAGTTTCTAAGATGTGAGAAAGATCCGGTAAGATGAGGAGACAATTTGAATGTCGATTTGGAGTTTCACTTCAAATTTTTTTGTATATATAATAGAGAACAAAGATCACTTCTTGTGAATTTTTGGCAATTTTTCAAGCCATTTCGTAATTTTTATTCTTTAAATCATAATTATTGAATTTTATATGCGTGATATACAAACACAGAAATAATAATCCAAATTTTGTACAAGCTTGAAATATACATTTGTGAGTGCACCTAACAAAGTGTAATGCAAGTTCATTTCATGAAATTAGTGAAACATGAAATAGAGGAAAGTAATTAAGTAGAGGAAAGAAAAGGGTAGCATGAAATATAGAAATAAGTTTGCCGAGTGCATAGATGGCACTCGGCAAACTGATGGATTTTTAAGGAGAACCGGGATTTTTAAGTAGTTTACCGAGTGCGCCATCGGCCGACACTCGGCAAACTGATGGAATTTTTTTAAAACGTTGCCGAGTGTCGTGTCGGGCCGACACTTTCGGCAAACAAACTCATAAAATAGATAGGCCATGGGCAGCTCAGGCCATTTCTCCATTCCTCCCCTCCACCACCCTCCCCTCACTGCCCCGTCGACCTCCCTCCCCTCGCGCCGCCGTCAGAGCTCCCCCACGCCCCCTCTTCCCTCCCCACTCATGGCCCCCCCCCTCCCCACCCACCCCGCCCGCCGGCCGTCGACCTCCCCCCCGCCCGGCCGGTCTCCCTCCCTCACGCCCGTCCGAGCTCCCCCCCACGCCTCCCTCCCTCCCCACTCCCCCCCACTCCATCGTGCTCCCCACACCCGCCCGTCCGAGCTCCCCCACGCCCCTCCCCCTCCCCACTCATGCCCCCCTCCCCACCCCCGCCTTGCCCCGCCCGGCCGTCGACCTCCCCTGCCTCGGCCGGTGCCCACCCACGGCTGGCCCACGCCTGTCCCCGCCCAGCAAACCGGCCTTGTGGGCGCGAGCACGCCTACAGAAACCGCCCTAGGGTTGTGGAGAGAACCTTGAGACTTCGCCGTCGCCCATGAGAGCCCACCATGAGGATCCCACCGCTTCCCCATTCTCCGGTAAGCCCCATTGTATTCTCACCGCTTCTCATATTGTCCTCGCTTAGATAGTTTAAGCATTCATCGAGTGATTTCAAAATAGCTGTTCATTTGAGGATGGAGATAGTTTATAAATTAGAGTTGATGGTGATGAATGCTTGAATTGGTGTTAGCAGTTGTCATGATTTGTGATTATTAGTCCGATTATGTTCCTACCGTCCTTGATATCCTTTTTTTGAGTCGATTTGCCTTTTGAAGTCTGATTGCTTAAAGTTTAATCTACAGCTGATTTGTAAATATCGTTTTGAAACCCGGAAGGAGGAAATGGACTAGATATTCCTCTTTTGAGCATGTCTTTCATTGTGTATGCGTGATCATGGGTGCGAGTCTTATGGTTGGCCAACTAGTGAGGAGTGAGTTAGTTTTTAGCGAATATTATTTGATCCTACAATTGCTCGGTATCTCGTATTTCAGGATGAAAAGGAGTACTAGGTACTATGGTCTATTTGGATCTTGCTAACTTTAGCATCCTATAACATACATTAATACTCGATTCGTTTTAAATTATAAGTTATTTTAAATTTTATGAACAAATAGATTCGCGAGTGTGTGAGCCACACTGTTAACTAGTGCCCGACACCCCATATTTTGAAAATTTGTAGGCTGTTTTTTCATTAGCAATCTTCCTAGTTGTAGCATGCCTATGAATATAGTCGTATGTCTGTCTTTACAAAGCTCACTTGGTGGACTAGCAAATGTTCTCTTGGCCATTAAGATCTGCTTTCTTCGCTAGTCATTATTCTGACCTCACTTTCTCTTCTTGTGTGGTAAGGGTAGAAGCCAAAGCATGTCATCACTTGCAAGTCATGCGTGATGCCCAAACACCAGCAGTAGCATTAGTGGATTGAATAAGGGCAAAGGAAGAGAAGGGCTAGAGTCATGAATATACGGGAGAGACATTCCTGTAACTAACCACTTTGTTGTTACCAGACCAAGATCTTTTCACTGAAAACTGAATTTTTCCTTTTCACCGATGACTGAATCTTGATCATCTAGTTCCAAGTGTATATGCAACTATGCATGTATTATGCCTGCTAACTTTGATTGTTTTGCAAAAATTATGGGGGTGTACATATGCAAATGGACACAGCTTTCGCCTTTTCTAGAGTTCAATTCTCCTGATGCAAATTAAACATAGATAGTACTTGGTGGCGGTCTTATTCTAGTATTTTATTTTGGAGTGAGTGAGGATGCCAAGATATTAATTATATTCTAGCTACTACTTTGACCAATTGCTCTACTCACGCATTTCCTTGTTGTGCAGGCTGCAGCAGGTCCTCCTTCTTCCGACCAAAGCAAGAACAACAAAAGGTTCAGATTTGAGCCGCCAATCGCTGCAAGCCTCAACACCACCACCGCCCACTCGCCTTTGGTATGTTTCATTGAACTAGTCGTAGTATGTTTCGTTGAAACCAAGAAAGTGCACCTCCATGAGACGTGAACTGCCCATCAATAATGAGCCATGTACAAACGTTGTTTGGTCATGCGGGATATATATATAGATATAGCCTAAGCTAAGTGCATTATAAAGTAAGAGATTGAAGATTTAATTTGCTGGTGCTGCGATCATGTTTGAAAACGGAAACGTATAGTAGAGAAATACGTATGGTTTTCTACCGTTTCAAGCTAGTCAATAATGCGCCGTAACAATGACGATCTATCGCTGCTAAAGTAGCCAATCGCATCATGAGGATTTATTAGTCTTGTATACGATTTCAGTAACCTAATGATGATGAACGAGGACGCAGTCTACTTTGTATGACACTAACTAGCTGATAGAAGGTAACTCTAGAATAGTGCTAGATCAAACAATTTTTAGTTTGACTGATAGAAGGTATATATATTACAAGATTGCCATGTCCGGCTGCTGACTGGGCTCAATTGGAAGCTGACAAGTGATGTGGTGGTCCATGATTGGATGAACATGCTGACTGGATAGGAGTTTTGGCTTACAGTGACTTAGGTCAAAGGCAAAGTCTAGCTTGCATCGGTGGTTAAATTCATACATGTTGATACTATTTCTTATAAATTCGGTTAAATATAAGATATTTTAAATTTGAAACAGACTTATTCTTTTAGGGAGGACCAAAGCTTCGGCTGTTTGTTGGTGTTCCGTGGACCTTGTAGCGGTTGAGGCTTCTCCTGTTTATGGGGATAGCGAGGTGAGGCATAAAACACCCTCTTTTTCAGTATCATGCATGTTTGTAGAGCACGTAACCCGGTTAGGCGTCTCCCGTTCGAAAGAGATACGGTTAGAAATATGCAGCTCTTTGCATGTCGATAACCGTATCTGCTTCGAATTGTCCACGTTTTTTGGACAGCCCTAGGATGCGTAGATGGGGTTAGTCTCCGTGGTCTACTCCGTTCCGAGGCAGAGTTTCGGCAGCATCTCCCTGTTGTTCTCCGGATACACAATCTCCCTACCGGGGCGTGTATTTGGAGAACAACGGGAGGTGTCCGAAATTGTCTCTCGGATCGAGATGACCATGGAGACTAACCCCACCACGCATCCTCGTGGGATTAGGACCTATCCTGACCTATTAGATGGTAGGAACATCGTGTACATGCAATTAATTCTTAATGTCTCGCTGGTATATATATATATATATATATATATGGAGGATGGATGACCGTGAGTGGATGTACATGGGCCGCCCAAGTCAGAGTGCTTTGACTGATGAATGGATTGAGAAGACGGAGGCTTTCATAGATAGAGCATTTGCCCTAGTTCCAGGAGCGTCAGCCATTTGGTGTCCGTGCAGTAGATGTGCAAACAGGCGTCGGCAACCAAAGGATGTCATGTCTACTCATCTTTGCTTGAATGGATTCACGGCAGATTATACTCGGTGGATCTACCACGGTGAAGCCGATCGGATGAGAGAGGATGCCGGGGTAGGTGACTGGCTAAATGACTTTCACGAAGCACACGTAGGTGAAGAAGGTGGGGAGGAGGAGCCAGAGGCAACCGCAAAGGCGTATTATGACATGTTGTCTTCGACACGAAACCCCTTCACGGCCACACAAAGGTTTCTCAACTGGATGCCATTGGACGGGTAATGGCCTTAAAGGCTCAGTTTAGCATGAGTCGAGATTGTTACGATGCTACGTTGGCAGTTATTGGCAGCTTGCTTCCAGAAGCTCACATTATGCCAAAGAGCATGTACGAGTCGCAGAAACTCCTTCGTGCACTCAAGATGCCATATGAGCGGATACATGCTTGTCCGAAGGGTGCGTCCTATTTAGGAAAGGACACGAGAAAGCAAAGTATTGTCCCAAAGTGTCAATCCTCTAGGTACACGGAGGTAGAGTCAGTGATGGTCAGAAGAGGCAGCTTGAGATCCCCGTGAAGATCCTACGGTACCTTCCATTCTTACCGAGGATCCAACGGCTATACATGACCGAGGAAACCGCGAAACAGATGACGTGGCACAAAAATGGCACTCGATACAGTCCTGAGAAGATGGTACATCCATCCGATGGTGAAGCATGGACCCACTTTGATGGGATTCATCGTGAGAAAGCTCTTGAGGCTCGTAATGTACGTGTTGCGCTAGCAACAGATGGGTTCAATCCTTATGGACTGATGGCTGCCCCATACACTTGCTGGCCAATCTTCGTTATCCCCCTCAATCTCCCCCCCGGTGTCGTGTTTCGACGACAGAATATATTCTTGTCGTTGATAATTCCTGGGCACCCGGGGAGTAAGATGGGTGTGTTCATGGAGCCTCTGATTGATGAGCTGGTCCGTGCTTGGGAGGAAGGGGTGTTGACATATGACCGAGCTACGAAGAGGAACTTCAGAATGCATGTCTGGTACCACTACTCCCTGCACGACTTCTTGGCGTATGGGATATTCTCATACCGTGTGTTCACGGGAGGTTCCCATGCCCATTATGCAAGACAGCTGTGGAGTTCATTTGGTTGAAGAAGTGTGGCAAGTATTCTTCGTTCGACAAGCATCGACAGTTCCTCCCTGTTGAGCATGCATTCAGACGAGACATGAAGAACTTTACGAAAGGTGTGGTAGTGACAGACCCCGCACCGCAGATCATGACGGGTGCCGAGGTTCGTGCTCAGATAGATGCTCTCGTCGTCAACCCACAAGGCGATGGTTTTGTGGGATATGGTCGTCAACATATGTGGACTCATAAGTCAGGCTTGGAGAGACTCACCTATTATGATGACCTCCTTCTTCCACATAACATTGATGTGATGCACACTGAAAAGAATGTGGCCGAGGCACTTTGGGGAACACTCATGGACACTGAAAAGTCAAAGGACAACGTTAAGGCTAGAGTGGACCTAGCAACGTTATGCGATAGACCAAAGCAAGAAATGAAGCCTCCTAGAGGCGGCAAGACATGGAGCAAGCCTAAGGCCGATTTCGTCTTGACCAGGCCCCAAAGGAGGCAAGTTCTTGAATGGATGCAAACGTTGATGTTCCCTGATGGGTATGCAGCGAATCTAAGGAGGGGAGTGAACGTATCTACTCTGCGAGTCAAAGGGATGAAGAGCCATGATTTCCACATATGGCTTGGCGATAGCGTCGTCGACACGGCCACTACCCCCACTCTCTCCCAGATCCGAGCAAGCGACACGGGCCAGAGGCCGCCCATACGCCCACGGCCGACCAGTACACAAAGACGCCATGCGAGACTTTGCGAGTTATTACTCTTTTATTCGTGTTGTTCATTGTTTCTTACATACCTTTGACTTCCATTGTAACAGTGGGGTGAAATTTTGTAGGCCGAGCTTGAAGAAGAGAGGAGGCGGAGAATAGCGTTGGAGGCGAAGATTGACGCCGATCGGCAGAGGGTGGCACATGTTTGATGGATGCAAAATCTCGGCGCGAAGATGGGTGAACCTTCGCCACAAGCGCTATTCCTTCCTCCTCGTCGTCCCCGATGACACTCCTGTGAGTACATCTATCCTCGGTGTCGATTAGTCTTTAGCAATGGGAATGATGGGGTGATTTGCATCAAAGGTTACTCACTTGTTAATTTGCGGTTTGCGAGTCGCTAGTTCACTTCTACCCTTTTGCTTACCTTGGTTTGGGTGTTGTTCAGTGTTCATTAAGCAGACTCTTGCCGCTTTACCTCTTAACATGTACAACCGTAGATAAAACTTGAAAAGTCACACTAATTAAGGATTGAGTTGAAACGCTCGTTGATCCACCTCCACATGTACAATCAGAGAACACAATCGGTGGTGGTCGTGGTCACCGAGATCGACCGACAAAGAACGTGTAGCCGACCCATATCTTTGGTATGCGACATCGAACCACTGCTTTGCATATGCTGCCTTCTAGAAGCTAGCTAAGCTCGCATCGGGATGTGAAATTAGCCCCATAGTGTGTACCGGTCAAAGGGTACATACCAAGATTTGTTACACGCATCTGAGTGGTGTCGGAGTATACAGAGATTGAGACCGGCGAGTACGTACTTGTCTAGAAGAAGAAGAATTTTTAGGCGTAGTATGCGTCTGGCAAAGGCTGACCGACCACCGATCGATCTTTCATACCGTGACAATCGACACCGTGAGTGATGCCAATCAAGTGCGTGTGGTCGATGACAGGTGTAGTAGAGTCTCCGGCGCGCGGGAAGAAATCATCATCGAGAGAGAGAGGTCGATTATGTACGCACGCGTGTGGCATAGGAGTGTGTCTATCTTGGTACACTGCTTTTGGCTCAAGGCTGCTGGGACCGGATATGCTTTCTCGGCCTCGGGAACCACACAAATGAAACAATCGTAACCTCCTTGCCATGGAATAGGTTTTCAAGGCATTGTTTTATCACCGCCAGATTCCCATATTCTGCTGACCTCCTTGGCTTGGTAGTTGAGAAATTATAGAACTTCCTATTTTGTTCAAATTGAAATCATGGGACACATAAACCCATATACGATGATCATACATTTTGAACCGGGCATCATTGTAAACTAGTTGTGCCAAAGTACTCTTACCCATGCTCGCAAGGCCATAGATAGGAACAATCACTATCTCATCATTGTTGGTATTTGCGAGATAACAGCTTTATGATTTCTGCTTTTCTCCATCCCTTCCTATTAGTGGTTCTTCGAGCAAATCGACGTTGTTTCACGCTTCATCATAAGGCAGCTACTGTAGTAGTGCTACTGCCCTTTATAAAGTTAAAGCTACCAATTTCGTTTACGAGTTTTGTCGGTTTTCTCTCAAACTCTTCATCCTATTAGCCACGGCAATATTCTTGTATGCCACCGGGAGACATGAGAGAACTCTCTGCCATCTGCAAAGAATTTTATTTCTTTCTCGCTTGGAACCTGGACTGAGCAAAGAGGCCTAACAAACTATATCGAACTAGAAACTAAAATAGGAACATGCTAGATGCTTCAAATCTCCTATAAAGAAGAATCAGCCATAATATCCCTACATACTATCATATACACAATAAGAATTACTGTTTTGGCATGACAGGCGTCTCTAAGGAGACTAAAAGTTTCTTCCGATGATCAATGGAAGTTTAACCAATCGATTAGCTTCTCCGAGAATTAATCTTATCTATTCTTTGTGCAGGTCAATCAATGCATCAAACGATGTACCTCAAGACCCACCGCAGCAATCGCCGTGGTCTCATTGGTGATTTGCTTCTTTTCATGTGTTGAACTTATTCCTTGTGTTGCACTTATGCTTGTAATGCACTTGTGGTGGATACTTTAAACTCGAACCTTATGTTGGTAGTGTGGTATGACATTTGTGTACCATTGTGGATTATTGTGACATATGTGATGTGGTGTGTGGAGATGATATATATATGTGATATATGTGCTTGTGAAACATATCTGTGTTGTGATATATATATATGTGTCAGTGAAATGTAATGCAAAAATAAAAAAAAATCAGATTTACGAGGATTTGCCGAGTGTTATGACCAAGACACTCGGCAAAGAAACACAATTGCCGAGTGTTATTACTAAGAAACTCGGCTAAAAGCTATTTTAAAAAACCAAATACTGCTTTTGAAAATATTTACCGAGTGTCTTACAAAGGTGCCACACTCGGCATATGTTTATTAGTTGCCGAGAGCAACACTCGCTAAAAGGATTTTTAAAAACCCAAATACTGTTTGAAAAATATTTGCCGAGTATCTTACGGTCGACACTTTCGGCATATGTTTATCATTTGCCGAAAGCAACACTCGGCGAAAAGGAATTCTAAAACCAAAAACTATTTTTATAAAACTATTTGCCGAGTGCCTTGCCGTTTGACACTCGGCGTGAAGTAATCATTAACGGCGGGTCCGGCGTTACGACCGCTTACTTTTTCGCCGAGAGCTAAATCGCACACGGCAAAATGTTTGCCGAGTGCCCGATAAATGGCACTCGGCAAAGTTGGCTTTGCCGGTACTATTTATGGCGAGTGCTATTCGCCGAGTGTGGCACTCGGCGAACTATTTGCCGAGTGTTTTACGTAGTTTGCCGAGTGTTTCGGGCACTCGGCAAACGCACGGAGTCCGGTAGTGATAATAGCCCGTATTGGTAATTTAGGTGTAGATTTGATGGTTATTTTACTTTATAATGATATAAATAGTTGTTTTAGCAGGTCGAAGTGAACTCAAGACGTTGAATTTCTTATACCAAAGAATTATTCCTGTAGTAATAATATTTTATAAAAACATAGAGTGACTAATAAAGTTATATTACCAATATCTCGATATGTCAAATGTTTTAGTTAAAATGTTTAAACTTGTATAAAGTAATATCCTACAAATTTTATTATCATAGAGTATTAGTATAATTTAATTTGAATCCTCGGTGTCATCGGTATGTGAATTATTATGAGATCATTTTTTCGTCATTGATAACTATCATAATAAATATTTACCCTAATGTATGCATGGTAAACATAGTATCATATAGCACTTATGGTTATTTTTAATGTAGAAGTGGCGAACATGTATAATCATGTATAATTTAAAAGAATAAATAGCGTACTAGGTTTTATGGTTATTGGATCATTTTCCATAGTGGCTTATACTGGCATGTAGACATATAGATTTGAGGGATATTTTTGTTTATTTTATATAATGGTGATTGTGGATAACTTAGATAAAAATCAAAGGGTTACATTATTATCATTCATAATGGCATATGTGGTAATTGAAGAAATTTTGTGTTACTTGTAGTATTATCTTTCATAATGGCACAGCTGGGCAATTTATTAGAATCATGAGTATGTTGTTAGTTATTGTACTGCATACTTATGTTAGTATTCACAAATATGTACCTGTTGTGGTTTCATAAAAAAAACATTATATACCTGTAGTCGGCTAGGGAGGCCCCTACTTTTGTTGGCCCTGCGCCGAGTCGGGGCCCTACTCAGTATGTTAGCTTCTTGATCTTGTGGCGCTGCTGGTATAAGAGTCTCTGCTGATTTATAGAGCATATATCCTTAGTTTTGGGATATCAGAATGCTTATATAGAGAAAACAAGAAACTGCAAGCTCAAATAAACAGAAGAACAAATTCGATGGAATTTCCCCAAATCTTGTACTAATACTACCTTGCGAACCCATCGGTGCCGAAGCAGCATGGTTGGCCTCGTCTGGACCAGGGTTTATCACCGGAGTAGGTGAGGGCGGCTGAGATGGCGAAATGGTTGGCCTCATCTGCTGTATCTGTACTTCTTTATCGGCCAGTGAAAGATCAGGCCAGGCCCAGCCACCACCAGGCTGAGCCTCCGGGTCTGGGTTGTTATTCGGTAGTGGAAGCCGCTGTTGTGGGTGAGGCAGTTCATCTGCAACCATACCATGACACACACAACCAATTGAACGGTTCATATTTCAATTCATTCCAAGTACACTAGGCAAAAACAAAAGATGGATTACACAGAGAACAGCTAATCAGACAGCATCTAATCTGAATTCATAACAAACCGGCAGTGGTGTTGGTGCCTTGTTGGACCACCGGCACTGCATCGGCATGGCTCCTCGCTGCTGGACCACAATTGGTAGTGTTCGACAACCCATCGGGAGCCATCGGCGGATGTTGGGAATGCTGCAATGACATCATCGCCTGTTGGACCTCCTCCTCGTCAAACTCGTTAGACGTGGTGGATGACAGGGGAAAATTGGACGATAATTGCCCTTCATCAGGAGACAACCATGCAAAAATCAGTAGTCTAACAACCCCTGGTAGCCAAAATCTTAAAAGACATTCGTAGTAAAAGTTACGCCAAGTCGAGTGGCCGAGCTGATTATTGAGGAAGGGAACTGCTGGGTGGGTGCTGGGTTCGGAGCCGCGTCGGCTATCCTTGGCCGGGCGCCGGTCTAAGTAAAGTGGAGCGCTTCAGTGAGGGCGCCGGTACGGTCTAAGTAAGGTGGCCGCGTCGGCTATCCTTGACCCTCAAACTTGCAGGACACGTACGTAGAGCTCTCCTAATCCTCTCATGTGCCTTTTCTGTGAGCTATTATTAGAGATCTACTGTAGGTAGAATAGATTTTGAGGTTTGAAGAGGGGGTGGGGGGTTGTTGTTTAGGGAGCCCCCGATAGAGAGTTGCTCTTATTTCGTAGAAAGTAATCTGAGTAGCAAGGTCCTTAATTTAGTATCTACAACTAGTTAAAATTGCTAATCAAATTTACCTAATACAGAAAGTGTTTTCCCATCCGTATTTATATGTCTTTGCCCTTTGAATATTTACACAGTTAACTAGATAGTTAATTCTTGGCATTGAACGCATATAGTTAGTTCAAATAAAATCCACTGGAGGTAGAATCTATCTATCAGATGGAAGTGGAAAACGAGTCAATCAAAAAAACCTAACCTGTTCCTGTGCCATGCGTGGCCACAAGTGGTGCCGGTGCGGCGGCATAGTTGGTCTCTTCAGCTACAGCAGCAGGAATACAGGGCATCGCAGCCAGAGGTGAAATCTGCACGTCACCGAAATTCTCCGGCGCAGCGAACCCCTCCGCGGGTGGGAGGGGCAGCCACAGGGAAGGCGGTGGTGAATCAGAGAGCATGAACGGCGACGACATCAAGTCTTCTTCCAGTTCCAGCTGGCTGAAGGTCCCCGCTGCGGCTGTGGCCTCCAGATAGGTTATCGGTTCGGTTCGCTCCATGGCGCCGGGGATCGGAGGCTGTGGAGACTGGAGAGGAGGTCAACTGAGTAAAGTTTCGTATATGCAGCGATCGACTAGCTAGCTAATTGATTTATACAGTGCATGATGATTGAAGCCCGAGTGATTAGCCTCATCAGCAACTACACCTTGTTCGGGCTCTCTCGCCTTCAGTTCGGGCTCGGGCTTTGTCATTTTTAAAAGACCAGCGTCCGGTTGTTTTGTCCCTGCCCAGCAACTGTTTCTTGATTGGCCCGACGTGACTGGGAAACCGCGTCGTACGTCGCCACCACCACGCCCCCCCCCCCCCCCCCCACCTTTCCCGGGCGCCCGCCTTGCTTGACACGTCCCTGCTGCTGCTTGGAGCGCCCTGCGTGCCCGAGATGGCTGCTGTGCGTAGCCCTCCCTCCCAGGATCCTCTGTGGCAGTGCGGCATGGAAGTGGGTGTATAGGTGGCGTAGAGGATCCGGACCACTAGGAAAGCGGGACAGGTAGGGGCTAGGGCGAGTGGTATGACTTGTACTGTATATGATATTTGACTTTTGTGAACAGTTTCATATATATTTCTCTCGTATTTGTAATTTTTAGAAATAATTTATAATTTTTTTTGAAAAATTTGGTATATATATTTTTGAGATTTGCAATCCATAAAAATACCTAAATTAGATCACTCTATCCAATAAATTACACTAAAAAAATATTGTAAATATAGTAATAAGATGGTGTAAATATAGCTATAAGATAGTGTAAGTGGATGGGTAAAAATCTGATTGCTGAGAAGAGTAAAATAACCGATTGTTTGGTAGATAGATTCTTTTAAATTTTTTATTAGGTGCATGTCCTGTCCGCCGGAACGATATATATTTTTTTATTTAGGAATCCTTTGGTTTGGTGCGATACTTTTGGGATCACTATTTTGATTCTATTACAGAAAAGCTAAAGCTTGCGCGTGTGATTTGTTTTACCTCGTCACACGAATTTGTGTACGTTGGATTTGCCCACCAACTTCATCCGTGCCATTCGTAGCACCGCACGCGTCAGTCTCTCTTCTCATCTTCTGCCGTAGTGCCAATACTTTCTCTTTGACCGTTCAAACGGTAGTGTCACGTACTCACATTGAATTCTGTTCTGACATGCAAATGTACGTACACACCATCTCACCGACATTTCATTACATTTTGTACCCGATGCCTTATGCTTCTAACCTATCGTGTACACCAAACAAGGCATGTACTGGATAGTTTTGCTTAGGGCGCGTTTAGTTCCCAAATTTTTTTGGTTTTGGCTACTGTAACATGTTCGTTTGTATTTGGCAATTAGTGTCTAATTATAGACTAATTAGGTTCAAAAGTTTCGTCTCGCGATTTCTCACCCAACTGTGCAATTAGTTTTTTTTCGTCTACATTTAGTACTCTATGCATGTGCCGTAAGATTCGACGTGCACTTTAGGGTGAAAATTTTTGAAATCTAAACAGACCCTCAGTGAAGTCACGTTAATTATTGTTTCTGGTTCACTCATTGTTACCGTGGACTTTGCTTTTCCTTCCACTTCATTTGTTGCTTTTTTATGTTTTCCAATATTTTTAGATTTGTTAATGTTATTTATTCTGACAACTTTTGGCTTTTATTTAGATGGCTAATTTTGTTTTATTTTTTAGACAAGGCCCTCTATTTTATCTTATTATTACTAAATAGAGACCCCAACGAAGACACCACGTTAACTCTCAACATACACGCTAGGAAAAAAGATAAATCCTAAAAATTCTCACAATAATCAGAAATATCTGACCTTTGATTTAGTAGACTATAATCATCATCACCGATAATGGCCATTGGATCTGTAGTTTATTGAAAATTTACCCACCACTGCCATTATGAAAAATACATAAAGTAACCCCCTAATTTTACATGTAAATTACCCACATCTATCATTATAAAATATAATTCAAAATAACCCCCTAAATTTACATCTAAAATACCCACCTTGGTCATTATGAAACATAATTTAAAATAAGCCCCTAACATTGCATCTAAATTACCCAACTTTGTCATTATGAAAGATGATTTAAACCTCAAACTTTGTATCTAAATTACCCACATATGCCATTATGAAAGATAATTTAAAATAACTCCTAATGATTTTATAAATTATCTACCTTTATCATTATGAAAGATAATGCAAAGTAATATTCTAAGTTTGCATTTAACATATCCATATATGTCATTATGAAAGATAATATAAGGTATTTCTTTATATTTGTAGGTACCTTAGTCATTATAAAAAATAAAAAAAATCTCTAAAATCTACACACAAATAGTAATATATATTATTAAAAAATAAATCAATATCCATGAAGTACGATACATATATATATTTCTAATTCACAGATTTCTATAATCATGAAATAAAATAATTGTGGTGCTACATTCCACCATGTATATCAAATAAACATGTATACATTAGGATAAATAATTATTTTAACAACTTATGAAACATGGAAAAAATGTTCACTTAACAAACCACGTCGCAATAACACTTTATATTTATACTCCTTGATAATAAATTTTGTTCATAAATTATTATTTTAAATAAGTTTATATATTTTTACTAAAACATTGTGTCATATCAATATTATTAATTTAATTTTATACACTATGGTACATAAATAATACTACACACAATTTATCCTATGATCTAACAAATTCAACATGTTTAGTGTTAGGATGCAAGCCAAGTTTCAACTTATGTGGAAAACAATACTACTACGACCTAGACTCTTTTTAATAAAAAAATTGAATAAAAGATAAAGAATACTAGAATTGCTAATTAACATGCGAAAAATTGCAACAACTTGATTAATAGTTAAAAGATAAACTATAGATTTATTATTTCACAAAAGGGTTGTATCAAGAGTTTATATATCTTAAGACTAGATTTTGACTAAATATATATTACACTAGAGAAAAAAGATAAATACTAGAAATTCTAACTACATGTCCCAGTGGAGCCTGCATGTTAATCATCATAATACTTGATAGGAAAACAAAAGATAGATCCTAGAAATTCTCATAAAAACCATAAACATCTTACCATTAATTTGGTATAACCTAATCACCATTAATAATAATAATAGCTATTGGATCTATTCTATTTTCTAAATAATTATCCACTTCTGCTATTGTGTAAAGCAATATAAACTAACTCATGACTCTAATTTATATTGTACACATATGTCATTAAGAAAAATTATCTAAGGTAGACCTAAATTTGCATTACCGATTCCTCTTTTTATGATCGATAATTTACATAACTCAACTTTCATCTCATCATTAGAAAATTAAATAACCCCTCAAATATAAATATAAATTATCAACATCCCCTACTACAAAAAATTTATTTAGATAACTAACAGAGCATATATATATGTTTCTACATTACCCACCTCTATCAATATTAACATAGCAAGATTTGATTAAAGTAAATATATGTTATGTTTCATCACATAAATAATATTTTCTTAACAACTCATATACTAATGATACTAACAAATTATTTAAAACCATATAACCATAACTATAATTTATCTAGACTGTTACTTTAGATATATTTATGTATTTTAACTAAAATGTTTAACATGTTCATATTGATAGTATAACCATAACTTCAAATCTAATTCCTTGATAGGAAATTTCAATCATCTTGATAAGCATAGACCACGGGTGGCTATATTTTCCTAGCCCTTTAAGAATACTCTAGAGTAAAATATCGATCATTATATGGTATAAGTATTAAAATTCTCTTGAGGTTAGCATATCTACCCTTGGTTGAGATCACATTTCAAGCTCAATGGCTTATCTTAAGTGATATGGTAGATGTTACAAAAATGGCTTATGCTATTGTAGTACTTAAGAACATACTCTATGGCCTAAAATTATTATTCCTTATTTTAAAAAGTGCAAGAAGGAGAGTGATGAAAGATACAATAAGAACCAGAGTTTCAACTTAACTTGAGGAGATAAAAAATCCAGAGCAGTTGATGAGAATAAAATTTGAAAAATCAAAATTTAGATTAATGGCTTCATAAGATATATATACATGATGCAATAAGAGCCACCGTGATAAATGATAAGGTTTCAAAGTAATTGCATATTTAAAATATATAGAGGTGTCATGCAAAGGAAAAATATGAATATGGATAAAAAATATATAGATTAGTTTCTTGAAAAAATAGTAGTTAATAAGTTTATGATGACTAGGTAAGGCTACTCAGTATCTACCATGTATATTATGTTAGAAAATAAACAAACAGAAAACATAGAATTTAATACAAGTAATTCTTTATTGATCAGATATACTCCCTCTATTACAAATTATAAGACATTTTGAGTTTTCTAAATACATAACTTTTGTTATACACTTATATGTATTGTCCAGATACATAGTAAGAAAAAAGGAAAATTATGTTTTTACCCCTGTCCAGTAAACTAATTGTGATTTTGCTCTTCCTTTTTCAACTTTGTGTTTTTACCCCTGTTATTTTGAACTGAATGGTCCGTTTGCCCCTGCTTCTGACGTCTGTCAGATGGACATGGATTAAACGAATTAAAAAAATTCTAAATCTAAAAAACAAAGGCCAAATGACCATAGTGCCCCTTATCCTTATCTCCTCATCCCAAACAAAGGCCACGACTCCAGGTTTGAGCACAGGGAGGGGCTGCTTCCAGGGCGTGGGGCTGCCTCCCGGTCGCAGCTCCAAGGTGCGAGCGTGGCCTTCCTCTAGGCGCAGGGAGGCCGTGGCGCCCACCCGCGGGTCGGCGTGAGCGTGCCGGGCGGCGGCGGCGGCACCATGCCATGGCTCACCGGCGGCATCCGCCTACAGGTCCCGGCGTCCGCCCATAGGTCCCGGCGGCGCCCGGCTGCGGGTCATCTTCTTCCTCTGGGCGCCCGGCTTTGTGGCTGTAGGGGCGGGAGGAGCGGCATCAGGGGCGGGCCGGTGCCCGGC